TCGAACGTGAGCTGGAACAGGGAGGGGAGCGAGAGTCATCGTATGGGAGGGAAGCTCCATCAGATCTGCGTCGCGTCGTCGGCGCTGGCTTCAGACAATGAGTGGACCGTTCACTCTCGAACAATCGCGGCTTTCCGATAGCGCAGACAGCTCGGTGTCGGCCAATTCTGGGGCACCGGCGGCGTTCAACCTTGAACGCCCACGTCAGGGTCGCTGCCGTGGCGACACTCGGTATGACACGAACTCGCCGTAGAAGACAGCCCTTGCCCCATACATGAAACGGACATGAGACACCATAGACAAGACACAAGTGCGCCTTTGATGACACAAGTTCGCCGAGACCCGACTGAGCGAAGGAGGATCGAAGGCAAGTGCCAGAGCGCAGAACGCAGAACGGTAGGGATAGATGCTCGAAGAGACTCGGATGAAACAAAAATAAGAACAATAATAATCATACTGAAAATAAAAAGAGACATACAAAACGGCTGGAACGTACGAGACAGGGAGGCTTGGTTGATGCTGGGACAACTGACCCAGGACGGCTCCGCCGCAATGTTCGAGAAAGGTGTGCCGTCTTCAGGTCGAGGAACGCAAGCGGAGGATAAACCAGCTGGGCTCATAGCGCGTTCCCCACCGGACACACCTACAATAGAAACGCACCCAGACATGCATAAGCCTAAACTCCCAACGGTCCGCGCGGGATCCTTCGGTCGACGCTGGCCGCTGGAACCCATTCCCTACATTCTTTCACAAGCGCACGGAGCGCGCCAGGCTGGGGAGAGGGGCCTGGGTACACTCACACTCAATCCTTGCTGGGACAAAACGCCATCGGCACGCCCCAGCGGGCAGGCGCCACATTTCAGAAGACGGTGTGCTCAGACAGCTTCGAACTCGCAAGACCTTCAAGTGAGGCCGCGAGACGATACGAACAAGTTTAGTGCACCAAAGGCGGAAGACAAGTAGTGGCAGGCGGGCCTCCTAACCCGCAGCCGTCTCACTGCACACCCGCGCGGCACTCCTGTTCGCACCAACGCCCCTGCGTCCGAGACGCGCCCCGCAGACATCGACACGCCACAATTAAGCGGCGCAAGCACTGGGGTAGTGGGAAGGGGGAAGGCTACTTGAAAGGAGGCTGCTTCTCAGAAGGCGCTGGCCCTACATTTATAGACTACAGGAGAGGACCCCGCCTTGTAAGAAGCAGGGGCGCTCCCCCTAAAAAGCCTTAGCCCCTCCCCGTGCCCCCATCTGCGCGTAGCCGACAGATAACGACACGACACAATGGCCGCGCCGCCTCAAGAGCTCATAAGCCATCCGAGGGGCACCACTCCCTGGGTGACCGTACACCCCAACGCACGGCACAGCGGGAAGCTGGCCGGTGGGAAGAGCGGACACAGATCCCCCAATGAGCCGCCCCACTGGAGGCGAGCGCGACGCCATCCTTGCCCAGGCGAACCCGCGCCATTCCTCCCCGATCCCCCTCCTCCTCGATATCCCCTTCTCCCGCATTCTCGATGTGCCCATCCTCCCCCTCGAAGAGGAAGAGGACAGAAGCACAACCAACGGCATAACCATAAACTTTCGGAGCCCCGCGCGGATTTCCTGGATCGGCGCTGAGCCCTCCTGGCGGCGCCTCCAGCGCCGCGCGCGCCAGCGAGGGGGGCCCAGCACCGATCCAAGAGAGTCGCGCGGAGCTCAGAGAGTTTCTGTTTACAATGGAGGCCAGTCCACAAGAACCCTTCCGCAACAAAACCCAACCCTCAGACCTTAGACCCCAGGACGTCCCTGGATTTGGGGTGTGGGAACGTCAAGTTCTCCATCGCGAAACCATCGAAGCCCAAGAAAACCGGGGGGCACCCTGGGGGGCAGAGCATGCAGGGTGCTTCTTGGCACGGGTCTCCACCGCATGCCGTTTCGCTACACTCCGGGAGGAAGGGCCCTCCCTGGGCGCCGGCGGCGCTCCCGTGCGACGCGCCCGCGGGGCCCCCGGGCGGCGACGGCGGGGGCGTCGCCGGCGGCGGCTCGGCCGCCGCCGGGGCCTCTCGGGGGCGTGGAGCTGGCGCGTGGGCGCCCGGAGGCTCACCGTTCCCTCAGGTCGGGCATGTCCTCCTACAGGCGGGTGATGCACGACGAGTGGCAAACATTGCAAAAATGCTCAGCAAAAGTTCAAACATCGCCCCCATCATATCTTTGAACAATTTTTGAATATTTCTACACGGTTCGAACACTATTTTTCCGGTTATTTTCTAACTAAATTTACGAGGAGCGCGCTGACGCAATGGCTATCTCCCTTGAACAAGTGCAGTGGAGAGTGCGCTTTGCCGAGGCCACGGACAACGACCCCTTGGGCCCAGAATTGCCTGTATCCGACGCCGCGTTCACAAATCAAGAAGTTGGCAAAGCAATGGGGAAGCTAACGTGCAACAAAGCGTCGGGGCCAGATGACATCCCAGCGGAATACTGGAAAGCAGTCTCAAGAACACTTGGTGGGCTACAGTGGCTCACAGAGTTGTGCAACGCGTGTCTGGAATCAGAAGGTGTCCCGACGCAATGGCAGCTGGCTGCGATTGGCACGATCCACAAAGGGAAGGGAGCAGTTGACAAGTGTGACAATTATCGGTCGATCAGCTTGGTATGCGTTGCATATAAACTGTTCGCGAGTCTCTTGTTGGGCCGAATGCAGGACGCTGGCGCTGACGAGCGCCAGCGCGATCCTCCAACCCCAGGGAGGCCTACATTCGGGGAAACCCGAAAGGACAGAGACCACTACTCAACTGGTTACCTCCCGGGGTGGGTTCTGACAAGAATTCCGTCGCGAACCCAGCTGTGGCGTCGAGAGCTCCCCAGGAGGCTCAAAAAGTCGAAAACGAAGCAAGGGTAGCGGCGGTGTCGGTACAGTCGCCTTCTCTGGTGGATGATCGTAACACAGGTTGCGCAGTAAGATACGAGCAAGGGGGGGCGCCAAGCCCACCGCCGACACCCCCAGCCCCCCGCTGCGAACAGCCATCGCGCGACGGAGGCGCTTCGATCCCCCGCGCACTGCGCCGCCGAGCTTTCTCCTCCGACGCCACATGTTTGTTTTCTTTTGTGGCATGGGCCCCATGGGATTCCGGATCAATCAGCATCGATTCGCAAATCGGATCGGATCGGAATGTGCGTCGGATCGAACCGCATCGGCACAGAGTCGCATTCGAATCAGATGGGCTGCGCCAAGATGCACAGCAACGCCATGCAAACATCGGGTCGCGCCGGACCTTCGGAATATCGGAATCGGATCGGATCGGGCTGACCGAACTCGATGTCGAATCGGATCGATCCGATCGAAATGAACTCTGGGATGTCGGATGGGTCCGAGCGAAATAGACCCTGGGATCGATAGAGGCATCGGAGATGATGGTTTCAAGGTTAGCTTCCAGTTCTGAGTTGGCCATCCTTTTTGCAGTGCGCAGCGCTGCTTCGGCTGAAAAGCTGGGCATCGAGTTGGAATTCCGGGCCAAGATCAAAGATAGCTGATGGCCTCGCCTCGCCTGTGAAGGCGGACGCGCTCCTCATTCCAGTCAGCAACACTTTCCCCGCCCAATGTCCTACGCACCTCATGCCTTTTTGCTTCAGTTGGATCTTTATATGTATGCAGTAGACCCGAAGGCGACACGACGAGGGGGCGCGCGCGATCCTTGTTCCCATGCGCGCCATGCGAGCTACGTGCTGGCACGCGGGCGGAGTCCTGCTCCTCTCATAACTCCCCTGGAACAAAACAAAAAAGAGGAACGAAGGCAAAAACGGAGAGGGGGAGTCCCAAGATGGTCCCACGGTGTCGACCTACCAAACTCACGGCGGGGTTACGGCGAACAATAACACGCGCCTGCTCCGAGGAATAAAACATACGGGACGCTCCGCGCAAACACCTGGACCGCAATAACAACGAGCCAGGAACAACTGGTCACGGGAAAGCGGTCGAGATCTCTACGGGTCAAACTTGTGCAAACATCCATACATGCATCGGGCCTCTGTATTGTTCGATGTGTTTCACCCTCTCTGTGCCTCTGAGGGCCCTCTCATAGCCCCAAATGTATACGCCCAGGCCAACCTGGTCGGACAGCAACCCGCGAAATGTTCGGGGGTCGAGCTTCGAAGGATGGAGGAGGAGGAGGAAGAGGAGGAAGAGGAGGAGGAGGAGGAGGAAGAGGATTAGATTATATTAGATTCGATTAAAATCACCATTGGCGCCATCTCCATCTGTCTCTGCCGTGCACATGGGAACGGTCATAGTATTCAGAATTAGTTCGGCAACGTATGATATACACGTATAAGGCTCTGGTGCGGTGGGCCTGCTCTAGCGGGACGCCTTGAAAACTGGGCCTCGAGGTGACGGGGCGTTGCCCTTCGGGACAGACGCGGTCCCAGGGCGCATCCCCACCGTCACCGAGGAACGAAATGGCTGTGGCGGGCAATTATTACCCGGCGGAACATTATCCCGAGAAGGCCCTAGGAGCACACAACCGACGAAAGGCAGCCCCACAAACCAAGGAATATTTCCCTCACTGGGAGGATCCCCGTTGGCTGATAGGCTCCCTCCCGCAAGTGCCTACACAACTAATGGCCCCCCATACATGACCTTTTTTTCAAACTACTCTGTGCACTATACCACGCCATGGCTAAGGAGTACGTGCGCTCACTGGATAGCAGACTAGTTTAAAATGCAGTGTCAAACACTACTTGACGCGAGGCTAAATGCACGCTCTGGGAGAGAAGCCTCCGAACTCGGAAGCCTTGACCTATGCACTGTTCGGTTCGCCTGAGCAGTCAGGGGGGGGGAGAGAGAGAGAGAGAGAGAGAGAGAGAGAGAGAGAGAGAGAGAGAGAGAGAGAGAAAGAGAGAGAGAAGGGGTATCACCTCGCTCACTATGCGTTGCAACCTGCATGTTGCAGGTTGCCTCTCCGCCCTCGGTACGGCGCGTGAAGCGCCGTCCCAGAAAAATATCCCTCTGCGCGCCATGGGTAGTTCTAGCCCTCCATGCACTCGAGCCACTCCTGCAGCTCGAGCTCGAGGGACGTCGCTGGAGCTCTGCCCGCTAGCTTGACTGCACCCTCCGTGCTGGCGAAGGCCTTGTTCATCAGAATACGAAACTGTGGGTCGCGAGTGGCGACCGTGATCTTCTTCATGCCGCGTTGGTAGACCTTCTCCACTCTGCAGTGTAATATCAGATCGCATTTCCTCTCGACCGACCATTGATCGCACGCCATGTATGTTTTCCGGAACTCTACCTGCAATGCTTCCGCGAGTGTGAAGCCTGGTGCGCCGCCCTGTCCGATCTTCACCCCCGACGATGTCTTGAGAGCTCCGCCTTTTGCATCAATATAGGGTGGCCCGAGATCGTGATCTTTCTTGCCCTTCGCGTGGTCGGGGTAGTTCGCTGCCTCTTCCTGCATCGCCAGCACCGCTGAGCATGTCTCCAGCATCGCAAGCGTCGTAGATGGCCGCCTGCACGTCGCGCATCTGTTGCGCGGATCGTAGAGTCTGCCTGGGGATGAATCCGGGCATCGTCTTCTCGCCCTGCTTGAGCGACTTCCTTCAGCCCGCTCCCTTTCTTTGACTGGTCTGCTGGGTCTTGTTGGCGCTGAACTCGAACGTCTCGACCGTGTCCAGCGGGGTCCTCCTTTGCGCCAAGGCTGCCCGGCACGTGCCGCCGCCGACGCAGCGCGCGGGCGTGCGCCTCTCGACGGCAAGAGGCGCGGTGGGGGCAGCGGCAGATGCACTCGTCGAAGGCGCGCGAAAAATTTGCATCTCCCCTGTGCGCATGCTCGTTTGAGATGATGTCGCGCACAATCGATCTCACAATATACTGAACAACACTTAGGGCATTGATTTGTGGTGACTCTGGTATTTAGAATAGATCGCATCCCATGGCGCAATGTTTGATGTGCGATGAACTGCTGGAACGTCGAGAATCCAAGGGCGCATGGAACACCAGAAACATCTAAGATCGTGCACTTGATTCGTTCAGCTCCCTGCGTTTGCTGCTGCTGCACAAGGGCAGAACGGAACAGCGGGCCAAAAGAAAGCTTGATTGGCAAATGCTGCTGCCCGCTAAATACCAGGATGAACTGCCAAGAACCCACGTGTAGTGTCCGATTCATAATCAAATAGTTCAGCCCAGGAAACATTTCGCAACCCCCATACTTCAAACAAGCTCTCTGTACCACTAACCCCGCGATATTATTCCAGATCTCGTTTGAATTGTAGTAACCACTGGTAAACATGCGATTGGCTTTGTCCAGGCTCCGTTAACTGAGTAGGTTCATGTAATACATGTCCACAGAGTGTAGTAATCGTTTGTTTGTGGGTCGTGGGGGCATATAATCATGCCTTGCAACCATCTAGCTCTTCTGACAGCTAGTTCTCCCGAGCTAAGTAGAAACCTCCACTCGCGAAGTGCATCGCCGTTGCTCGTCGCAACCGCATGGGGCCCAGACGAATCCGCCGCCGAGCCCTTCATCAGCACCCGGTATCCCCCCCTTGAGGCCCCCTTGTAAAAAAAAATGCGCGGGGGCAGTTTCTGCTCTAACATAACATTTGTTGCGCGAATCCCTTGCGGAAGATGTGACGAAGTGCGCGCGCGCGTCGTCGCGCGCGCATGCCGGAATCCTTCGGAAACCCTCGGTGCCGGAAAGATTTCGCAATCGAGTTTCAACAAAAACATACAACATCATACGATTTTGCAACACGGGGTTGCTAAACAAACTTCCGCGCGAGCTCTTGCGAAATCTTTCATAGGCTTGTTCTCAAAATTTTCACAACATGCTACTAAACGGGCGTCGCGCGCGCGCATGTCGAAATCTGTCGAACGCCCTTGCGCGCGTGCCGTTGCGAGAATCCTCTGCAAAAAAAGACGAAGCGCAAACGCGCGCGCTGTCGCGCGCGCGTGCCGAAAACCTTCAAAACCCATCAGGTTTCGGAAGGATTTCAAAATCGCATGACCAGAAAACACACCAAAACACAAAGTTTCGCAACACGGATTTTCAACAAAAGCGCGCGCGCGCTCTTGCGTCGTCGTCGTCGTCGTCGCCGCCCTCCCTTCTCCCGCGTCGTCGTCGTCGTCGTCGCCTACGTCGTCCTGTGTCTTTCCTCGTGTTCGTCGTCGTCGTCCTCTTTGGCGTCGTGGTCGTTTCCGTCGTCGTTGTCGCCGTGGTCGCCCTTCCTCCTCATCCCTCGTCGTCGTCGTCGTCCGTCGTCGGCGTCTCGTCGTCGTCCCTCCTATTTCGTCGCTGTCGTCGTCGTCGTTGTCGTCGTCGTCTCGTCGTCGTCCTCCCCTCTCCCTCGTCATTGTCGTCGTCGCCCTCCTTCCTCCTCTTCGTCGTTCGAGTCGTCGCCGTCCTCCCTCCTCCCTCGTTGTCGTCGTTGTCGTCGTTGTCGTCCCTGTCGCCGTCGTCGTCCTCCCTCCTCCCTCGTCGTCGTCCTCGTTGGCGACGTCGTCGTCGTCTTCGTCGTCGTCGTCGGCGTCGGCGTCGTCGTCTTCGCCGTCGTCGACGTCGGCGTCGTCGTCGTCGCCGCCGTCTTGCTTCTCCGGCCTTCCTGGGGCGCTCTTGAGACGCCCCCGAGGGCTCCAAGACGACCCCGGAGAGATATCTGCGCTCGGTCCCGCATGGGTTCTGCAATCCAAGCTGCGGGTGGGTGGGTGGGATGATTGCGCGAGCAGTGGAGTGGACAGCTTCAAGACAGTCAAAGCGGCCCCCCACCATAGAATAGAGTGTTCCTAGATGTTGCGCACGTGCGTTTACCTCCCCGTGTGTTTTTGCACAGTTCCCCTGGACTGCACGGTTCAAAATCGTCGATCCAAGATGCGGTGCAATACCCTGTGTTCCAACATGTTTTGGGACGAATCAGTCCTGAGAGAGGATCTCATTCATCGCCCTGTCGCTCTCAGCGACATTCCCTGTTACTTGAAATATGCTCAGCCCCCTCGGGAGCAGGCGCTAGCGGAAGATGTCATCCGCGAAGCCAGAAGGCGAGCAATCGATGATGTCCATATTCACTACTTCACAGTGGTGGCTATGTATGTACCTGCGGGGTGTGCTCGGACCTTTTCAACGGTAGCATGGAACGCCCCAACCAACTGTTCCGGCACCTCACAGGAGCCCTGACAACCTCCATGTTTTGTCAAAGGGTGATACTGCGCTTGTCCCAAAATTGAAACTCACAGCTCCATTATTGAGCCTTTGCTCAACCAAAAAAACTGCCATTCAGGGCGCACTATGCGTTCGCTAAGAGAGAGGAGGGACTCCGTGCTTGGACACATGAAAGCGTTGCTGAGATCGTGCAACTCGTGGAGATTCGGAATGCCACGCGATCGGAGTGCATGTCCAACTCTCTGCTGCACAAGAATGGCGCCCCCACGGCGCCGGCGCCTCAAACAACCGTGCCATCTGCCAGGGAAACTAGAACCATGCTAATTTGCCTCCTCTCCCCACGTGTACATCACTCACTGAGTGCCAGACACTCCCACAGCGCGTCCAAGATACCCATGACTCGAACTCGTTTCATCTCCTGTTGTCCGTTACACTTGTCCAGGACAACCGCCTCCGTAGCATTTGCTTTTGTCGGTGATTCTTCCACCGGATGGGCATGCGCAAGGATCTCCACAAACTCGCATCTGGATCGCAGGAGGGAAGGCGTGCTCGTAAAACGGTGCGCCCGGCCATCCTTGCTGCGCTCATCTCCCCCCGCCTCGCGTTCATCCTGTGACCCTTGTGACTTGACCTCCTGGAGTTCCCAGTCCCCTTCCAACATTCTCCCTGTGGAATCAAACCTAACGCCGCAGCGTTCGGGGGCGCGCGCGAATAAGTTCGCCGGGGCCGAATATCATGAGCGCCACAGCCACTGCGACATTCCAGCTCACAGGAGCCCGTCATCATTGGCGCGGCGTAGCTTCCAGACAAGACGATTGATCCATGCATCTGCCATAATATCCATCTTCGCTTCGTGGCGCGAATGAGATGTCCAGCGATCAGAGGAACTGCCAACACATCGCAAAGTTGCTGTTAAGAATCAGCAGGGCGCGGTGCGCTTTTGCCTTCATCAGCACTTTTCGCACGCATTGTTTACCGTAGCTCTTCAAAATCTGGAGTGAAATCTGCAACGTGAATATATTTACGATTTTTCACCCCAATCAAGCGTCCTGGCAATGCTCGCGCCAATCTGTGTACGTCGGCCTGGCGCCCTAGCTGTCTCGCCTCATTAAATTCCTCCAGCATCTCCTCCCGTCTACGTCCACGCGCGCGGCGAAAGAGGTGACGCAACATGCAGCTGATGCGTTCGATGCGTTGACAGTGCTTAAGGCGTGTGTCCTCATAGTCTAGTATGTGTCCACATTGTTCCTGATAACTATGTGCGGCCCATCGTTGGCGTCGTCGTTCGCGGACGAGTCGTAATCGCTCTCTACGCAGTATTCGGAAAACATCGTGTTCGGGTTCACGTACAAGTTCGACATGTGATCGCGCCGTTTGCTGTGCGATCTGAATCCATGCATCTAGTGTCGATAGGTGTGGCCATCGTCTGGTATGTGTCGAACGTAGCAGCAGCATGTTCGAAAGTTTCTTCGAGAGAGCGGTGAAACCCTTGGCGATGTATACCTGTCTGAACAGCATATGCTAGCTTCTGATAACCCCAGCGAGAAAATGAATCAGGCGCGTGACGTGGTAGATTGTACATCGCCTCAATCAACACAGGCACGTGATCTCTGGGACAAGAACTGAGGATGAGCTGGAGTCCCCGACCAGTGCACCAGGCAACTTGGCAACGTTGGATTCCAGCTCCCAAGCCGCGAGGCATAATGACCATGTCAATCGTGCGGCGGCGCCCTGTGGGACCATAAAAAGTGGAGCCCGGATTGGTCGTATATGTGCACGGAGCCACGATATCGAGATATTATATCATCCTGGCTAGTCGTTATCCTCCAACTCCCTCCTTTCCCACATGATGCGGGCCGATCAGTTATCTTTCCTCATCCTTCCGTAGTCCATCCGCCCGTAATCCGGATCCCGAATCCAAATCTAGACCAATGAGAACTGTGCTGCACCCTGCTGCTTGCTCAAGCCGCAGACGTAAGTGATCCATTGTGGCCTTGACAACCTTGATATGTGCCTGTCGTTTCTTGCCTGATTCATAAAATTGGCGGTGGATATACCACCAAAAGGTTGAGATCAATCGACGGGCCATCGATTGGCATTTCACCGTAGCATCCTTAAAACTTTGCTGGTCCACGATGTACATGTTTTACATACGACATGTGGATGCGTCTTTCCAAGAAAATGCAACGACCGGCACCAGAGTTTGTGTGTGGTGCACGGGCCCATCCGAAATTAATAGCTACTCGTTGTCCTCGAAGCCTCTCGATCTGATATGTTCGTCCACTCCATTCGCGAACTTTGGCGCCCTGCATGAAAGTAACATCTACATTGAGTCGTGCTGCGACTCCTTTCAATCTTGATGCCGATACCAGGTTGAGAGGACTGTACGTGATAAGCTGCAACGTTGGGGTCGTCATAGGCTCCAAGCCGCAGGATGCACACCGAGTCGATGCCCTCCACTCTGTCACTGCAAGCGCCAACGAATGGGCCCAGCGATAACATGAGGCACAACGCTGGCCTGTGGGGCAACTCAATTACGCCGCTGGAACTCTGCTGAAACCCGAACGGCGGCTAGGAGGAGGAGGAGGAGGAGGAGGAGGAAGGAGAAGGAGAGGACGAAACCAGACCTCCTGACGGGTTGAACTGTTCACACTCCCTGACGCCTTCCCTTTAGTGTTTGCCTCTGGAGAGGCCGGCCGTCTTCGGGCCCTGGGGTCGTCGCAACTGCTGGCAGGTGTCCCCTGGGTGGGGCTTGCGAACTCGGGAGTCCGCGGGTAGGAACGAACAACAAAGTCCGTCGGAGGTCCGCATTCGGATAGGGAACGTGTCGTCACTCCGACACGCTTCGCCTCAAACCAAGCCCAAATGATCGAGCGCGTGTTTCGTGTGTGTCATTTGGTCCGTTCACCAAATTGGTGGGGGCTCCACATCATCGCATCATCACATCCAGGATTTGCTCATGCAGAATATTTGTGTGTTACGGTCACGTGGGGCCTGGAAGAGGCCTCCAAAGGCCGAAGTGAAGGAAACACGCTGGCTGGCATTGAAACAACCTTTACGTCGGAGGTCTGGGTATCGGGTCGCTCAAGATCTCCCAGCGAATGCGTGACAGAACAACTACTGTTTCGGCTAGGGGATTCTAGGGAGGGTGTCCCCAGGTCCGCGCAGAGTCTCCGGAATCTCCGAGAATCTATGGAGAGCCCCCCAGAATGATCTGAACATATTCGAAGACATCCTCGAATCCCAACCTCCACCATGGCCTGTGGCTGCCATGACCCTGGGCAACGCTCAAGTGAGCGTGGATGTAGAAGCACGTGTCCAGCTCTCGGCAGAGCAAGCAGTGCCTAGAGGTTAGGCGCGTGCGGTGGAATCTCTGACTCTCTCAACCCTCCGAACCTCCAACCTCCCCGACAACCTACAGCCTCCTCAAACCTCCGACTCATCGCTCGCCTGCTCGCCCTGGGTCGCGCCTGGCGGGGCCAACCACGGGCCAGAACGACGGAGAAAGTGAGGGCGTCATTTCTGCAGCCCTGACGGCGGACCCGAAGACGACGACGACCACCACCACCACCGCCACCACCGCCTCCGGGAGGGAGGCCGTGCAGAAAATCGACGTCGGCGCAGGCGGCGCACAGGGCGACAGAGGCGTCGTCGGCGTCGATAGGAAGAGAACACAGATTTCGCAGGTCATCGCGGACTGCTTGGATCTGCGCAGGGCCACCTCCCTGGCGCGCCGAGCGCAGCACCGGAGGCGCTGGAGGCGCCGCCGGCGGGGGGCCCCGCGCCGATGCGAGAAGTCCACGCGCAGCTCCGAAACTTCGCCTCTGGCAGCAGGCGAGGAGCGTCGGCGGCGGCGGCGGCAGCGGAGCGGCGCCTGCCGCGGCAGCCTCGCCGGGGCCACGCCGCGCTCGGCGGCAGCCAGGGCCGCGCCGCGGCCTCGTCTTCTCCGCGGCAGCTCGGCGGCGCGCACAGTGGTGCAGGGGGCTGCCTCTTAGAAGGCGCCGGCCCCTGATCTACAGAAAAGGCCCGCGCCTTCCAAGGAGAAGGGGTGCTTCGAACAATCTCTGCCCCCTTCCACGATCAAAGCATATGAATAAGACAATCTGAATACTACTCTCCCTCTCTGCCCTGAAGGTGTCAAGGAGATCTCCTGCCCCCTCCGCGTTTTTCCCTACCTAAGCTCTGCCTAGAAGGGTTCTTACTCTCTTAGCTTAAAGGGCCGGGCAATGGAAACCGGCCCGGGCGGTTCCCCCAGTCCCCGCCCCGCGGTTCCCCCAGTCCCCTGGGAGCTTTAGCCTTAGCTTTAGCTTTAGCTTAGCTTTAGCTTCAGCTTAGCTTAGTGTTAGCTTAGCTTTAGCTTAGCTTTAGTTTAGCTTCAGCTTAGCTTCAGCTTAGCTTAGTGTTAGCTTAGCCTTAGCTTAGCTTTAGCTTAGCTTTAGCTTAGCTTCAGCTTAGCTTCAGCTTAGTGTTAGCTTAGCTTTAGCTTAGCTTTAGCTCAGCTTTAGCTTAGCTCCAGCTTAGCTTTAGCTTAGTGTTAGCTTAGTGTTAGCTTAGATTTAGCTTAGCTTCATCTTAGCTTTAGCTTAGCTTTAGCTTAGCTTCAGCTTAGCTTCAGCTTAGCTTTAGCTTAGCTTTAGCTTAGCTTTAGCTTAGCCTTAGCTTAGTGTTAGCTTAGCTTTCGCTTAGCTTCAGCTTAGCTTTAGCTTAGCTTTAGCTTAGCGTTATCTTAGATTCAGCTTAGCTTTAGCTTAGTGTTAGTTTAGCCTTAGCTTAGCTGTAGCTTAGCTTTAGCTTAGCTTTAGTTTAGCTTCAGCTTAGCTTTAGCTTAGCTGTAGCTTAGTGTTAGCTTAGCTCAGCTTTAGCTTAGCTTTACTGTTACTACTAATGCTGCTTTTCTAGGGGCTCCAACTCCTAGCTAGGTAGGGTCGCACTGGGATAATTTTTGAATACACGCAGGATTCCAAACATTGATTTTATTTGTTGCTTTTTACATCCGATTGTTTTCGGTGTTTCAAAATGAGGCTCCCGCTGCAGCGTGGGCCCCAATTTCGGATCGGCGCTTCGCTCCCGTCGCTCAGAATGGGGCTCTCGCCCCATCGCGGGCCACTTTGCTGGATCGTAGCCTCGCTTCATTGTGGTCCCTCCTTCACTTCCGCTCCTCCGCCTTCCCCTGGCCCCTGGCCCTCTGGTTTTGCACTCCAGTTGCTGCTGCTGCTGCTGCTGCTGCTGCTGCTGCTGCTGCTGCTGCTGCTGCTGCTGCTGCTGCTGCTGTTCGTCCCGCCCCTGCGCGGGCCACTTTTCTGAATCCGAATAACTCTTCATCGTTGTCGCCCCCCGAAAGACCCCCTCCGCCTTTGCCTGGTCCTCTTTGTCCTCCCGGTCCGTCCGCTTTCGTTCCTGCTGCTGTTGTTCGTCCTCGTCCTTTTCCTCCCACTCATCCCCCCGCTCACCCACCACCTTCTCCTCCTCCTCCTCCTCCTCTTCCTCCTCCTCCTTCTCCTCCTCCTCCTCCTGTGCATGCAGCTCCCCCTTTCCCAGATTGCGCAAAACACGAAGTAGTCTTTCTGTGGGAGTCGCAGGTCGGCTATGACACGCTTTCGCGGATACAGAAAAATTAGCGCCGTCGAAGGGATCTGAGGGAGGGATCGGATGTCAGATGAGGCGCGAGCGCATTTCACTTGCCCTGCCCCCCTCTGCGCGTGGCCGAGCGACGGCGGGGGGGGGCGGAATGGGGGGCCGGCCGCCTGCGCCGCCGTCGACCAGCCTAGGCGGCGACGTCGCCGTGGGCGCCGTCGCCGTCGTGGCCGTCGCCGTCGTCGCCGCTGACGGCGCCGTCCACGGCGTCGGCGTCGTGGGCGCCGTGGGCGCCGTCGCGGAGACGGGGGCCGTCGGCGGCGGCGGGGGAGAGGCGGGCCTCCGAGGCGCGGCGGCGTGGCTGCCAGGCGCCGCGCCTCCGCGCGATAGGGGGCATCGTTCAGCCGACCCTTGCATCTCACCATGGGCGTGGACTGGGCCCCACTGGCCGAATTGCTCCCCAGACTGGGATACAGGCTGTTCCCTTCGGGTTTCGAAGAGTATATCCCCAGCTGGGGTGCTCGGGTGGTGGGTGTCTGGATCGGGATGGGGGTGAGGACAGGGGTCGATCGAACGATGCTGGGATGGGGCGGTGGGGGGTGGCGCCGCCGCGACCCTGGAAAGTACAGCAAGCGTTTCGGCGGCGAGCGAGGAGGGAAGTGAGAAGGAGAAGGCGGTCTCAGAAGGTCCGGAAGTCCCCCTGCCTTCTCAGAAGTTTTCTAAGCCTTTCCCGAAAACCAAAACTTCTCTAAAGGCGCGAGGGCATCTGAGACGTCCCGCCGCTTTCTGAGAAGGGCTTCTCCTTCTCATTTCCCCCCTCGCTCGCCTTTAAACGCTGATTCACATTGAGCTTCTTCACCGAGTGAGGATTACATGACCGTGGCTGCCTCTCGAGTTGCCTCTCATACTCTGAAAGGGGGCGCTGCCGCGCCGCGCCCCCCGCGAACCGCGGGCTGGCGGGCTGTGTGACGTCGACGCCGGCGGCATCGAAGAAGATCCCCACCACTGGACTGGATCCCCTTCGGTTATCCTCCGAACGTGTGTTGGTGCCAACGTGTGCTGTCCATCGGTGCCCTTGAATACGGCGAAGGCTGCGTAAGAAGGGCTGACAGGCCACGTGCCAACGGCAACACCGAACGAGGCGACCTTGCACACAAACAAACCATACACACAAACAATACATACACACAAACAAACCATACACACAACACACAACACAACACCCACACAACACAAAACACAAAACACACCCACACACAACACACACACAACAAACACACAACACGCACACACACACACACACGCGCACGTGTCCTTATGATAAGCGACCCTTCCCTAGAGTGGAAGCCTGGGAGCGGCGAGCATACTGATTTACTTGTTCTCTTTCGCAAGACGTCCTCCGACGGGAGCCGAAGCTCTCTGGCCCATCCCCATGAAATGGAAGGGGAGCAACGTGAGGGTGAAGTGCGCCTCCTCTCCACAAGATTAGAAGGTGAAGCATATGCAGACACGCCAGTCGGAAGAAGCACGTAGAAACATGGAATAAAGATGTGGATCCGCCAGCCCCCTTGTGAGGCCACCAGGCTGCATGGCGAAGGCTTGCTGCTCCCGGCACCAGTTGCAGTTTCCATTTTCCCATGTGATGGCTCTACTTTCTGTTTTCTATTGTGAATTGTTACTGAACGCGCGAGGGGGGGGGCGGAAAGTCGCACTTTACCACGCCCCTCCCGGGATCGTAGACTTCCTGGGGGGCCGTGGGACACGTAAAAATAAATGAGATTCGCGCCCCCGAAGCCATAAACCCTTGTAAATTACGCAATGCGCGCGTCCCCGAGGCCTGAAACCTTTGTAAATCACGCGAAATGCGCATACTGTAGGCCATACACCCTACTCAATTACGGAATGCTCGCGTCCCCGAAGCCATAAGCCCTTGTAAATTATACAAGATTCGCGCCCCGTTGAGGCCATAAACCCATGTGAATTATGCGATGCTCGCGTGTCCGATGCTATAAACCATAGTAAATTACGCGATGCTCGCGTCCCCGAGGCTATACAACCTTATAAGTTCTACAATACTCGCGTCCCCGAGGCCATAAACCCATGCAAATTATGCAATCTGCGCGTCCCCGAAACCATACAACCTCGTAACGTACGCAGTAGTTGCGTCCCCGGGGCTACACAACCTTATACATTAATCCATATTCGCGCCCTCGAGGCCATAAACCCTTTTAAATTACACCAGATTCGCGCCCACAAAGCCATAAACCATCGAAAAGTATACAAGATTCGCGTCCCCAGGGCCATAAACCCTTCTAAATTGACCCGCAGTCTCGCCTTCGAGGCCACGATCCCTCTTCCATTACCACATATTATCGCCTTCGACGCCATGATCTGTAAATTACACGGTATTCGCGCCGTCGAGGCCACGACCGCCCCAAGACGGTCCAAGAAGCCTCCAGAAGAGCCCCACGACGGCCCCAGAGGGCACCAGGACAGCTCAGCAGGCACCCAAGACGGCCCAAAAACTCCTGAAGATGGCGCCAAGAGAGGTCCAAAGCGGGACCACGAACCAAAGATTTGAGCTTTCAGCCCCGCGAGGACGAAAGACGGCTCCAAGTGGCTGCCAAGCCGCAACAACAGGCTTCCAAGAGGCATCCCAAGAGGGCAGCCAAAGCCACGCGATGTTGCCCAACGTAGCCTCAAGCAGCCCCGAATCGCTGCTCCAATACATGGCACGAAAGGGAACTCGAGAACAACACTACGGACTTCAACAGTACGTTCTGAACCTGAGTCTGCCACTTACCAGTCGCCCTTGCAGAAGGTTCCGACCGTGTTTCGCAACGGCGCAATTGAATTCCAGCATAGCTCTGACATAGCCCATTCTGATAGGAGAGGGGGCCGGCGGCAGGTGGCGAAGCCCTTACGGATAGAGTAGATTGGGCCCCGGCCCGCCCAGGGAATAACAGAACAGTACAAAAAACACATCGATGTTTGAAACAGGAAGGCGCTTGAAGTAGATTGGGTTCTGGGAGTCCCAAAAATACATACTCTCAACGACCGGCGTGTAAGCATCAGCTGTGGGAGCTCCTCGCGGATCTCTTGGATCGGCGCTGGCATTCCACCTCCCGGCGCACGGAGCGCATCAGGGACGGCGCCGGAGGGGGGAAGGAGCGTTTGACGTCTCCGACGTTGTATGTTCATGTCGTTGTCTGCTCTCCTTGCCCCGGCCCCGCCCGAGAGGGGCGCCCTGCCTCCGGAACGGGGGCCTCGGGCGGCGGCTCCGGGCGGACCCCGCGCTGGCCGGTGGGCCGCGCGAAGAGCTCGGCCTGCGGGTGGCCGCGGCGTCACCACCAGGAGGAGGGCAGGATGGCGGCGGCTGCGTGAGTCGATGACTGCCCATGTTGGACAGGCACTGACAACTCTCTGTCGCTATATATATATATACATACACACACAGCCGATCATATGATCAAGAAACTTGTCACCTAAGAAATCTGGGCCAGCTTCCCGGAAGTCTCTGAAAGCTCACCTGGGCCAGGTTCTGTTGTCAACGCTGGAGTGCGAACATGCTCAAGGAATTGGGCCAGCTTTCCAGCAAGTTGGCCAAGAAACGCTGGCCCAACTTTTCTGGAGGAGGTTTCTTAATCAGATGCTCGACCGTATATGGTTAAGAATGATGAGCCGCGCCTACATGCCATCCCTGGACAGAATTCTTGCCCCGATGTGTGGCCACCGCGATCGCCGCGGCGAAAACCAAAACCCACCCGGAAGATTGATCCGGGGTCGGATTTCGCAAAAAGAGACAGGGACGTGGTGAATCCCACCAGCCCTCTGCGCTGAGGTAGCTTTTGCCAAGAAAGAGACAGCGGCAAAAGCATAGACTATCGAAGCTCCGCGCGGAATTCTTGGATTGGCGCTGGACCCCGATCCCTGGCGCTCAGAGCGCGCCAGGGGCGGCGCCGCAAGCGAGGGCCCAGCGCCAATCCAAGAAATCCGCATGGAGCTTCGAGAGCATATACTTGTGATTACGTATGCAATTAATCTCCCTACTCGATTTAGGGCGTTTCCTCGTCGATCCTCCCCCCTTCTTCCCCGTCGGGGAGGGGTTTATCCCTGCCCCTCCCCCCTCCCCCTGGTCTGGACGGGTGGGCCGCGACTGGTTAGAGCGTCCAGGATGGCCTGCCGGGGGCCGCGGCGGCCTTGCCAGGACGAAGGCGGGACGAGCTAAATTGGGATGGCTCACATCTGTGGCGACGCTTCTGTTCGGTCCTGGCGCAGTCCCTCGATTCCGTCTCCTCTACGAAGGGGGACGTCCGACAAATGGGGGTTCGCAAATCATGGCCCCGGGCATGTGCGCGGACGGGGGGAGGACCAGAGGAAGTGTCGATCCAAGAGGAAGCGGGGGCCATGAAATCTGGGAGATTGCACTGCCCCAGCCGTGATGCCCACCCCACCCCTCCCCGAGTCTCCATGGGGTGGGCCCAAACCCGGCGCGCTCAGATGCGAGCGTATTCGCGCGATGCGCGTGCCGACGCGAGGTCGACCTCATCCCATCAGAAAAAAAACCCGACCCCCCTTTGGGCCAGCACCAGAGGCCCCTCCGGCGAAGGGTCACTCTCACGTGTAGTCGACTCTGGTGCGCGGCCTGCCGATCGCTGCGGGCGACGAGGCAGCGCTGGCCCGCGCGATGAGGCTCAGCCCCTGCGCGCCCCGCAGAGCCCGCACACCAGTTGTCACTCCAGCGAGGGGTCAAAGTCTTGGGTGTAGCCAACAACATCTCGCTGACATGAAAGGAACGGGTGCTGAGGGGAACGCGTCAACGACCCTGAGGCCTTCTCCCCAAGACCAGCTCACGCGTAGCCTAACTCAGATCCCCTACGCCATGATTTGTTCGATGTTGGCGTATCTCTTCGATTTCGGCCCGCACGGGGTCCGTAACCGGTCCCCAGGACTATCAAACATAAATCTGGGACAGCAGGCTACCCCAGGGGAAGGGAGTCGTGGCCTCCCGGGCCGCAAATCAGGAACAAAAACATCGTGAGATGTCTGGGGGAGATAACTCGGGAATCTATGAAAGCAGGCGGGTCTGACGGATGGATGTACTTGACGCCGCGGCCGTTCTGGAGCGTTCGGGAACGCCCTCAGGGTTCTAGAACGCTCTGAAACAATGTATCGTCATCCTAGGCCTGCCTGAAGTGAGCTGTCCTTGGCGGCGCGCACGAGGGGGTGGCGGGAGAAAGCCAGACTCCTAGGAAAGCGGGATGGGGTCCGAGAAGGCAGGGGGGCTTCTCAGAAGCACTTCTCGCTTCTAGAAGGTTCCTTAGAAGACGATGCCGCCTCAGGATCCCTTCTGGCTTCCCAGAACGCCTTCTGGAACCACCGCCTTCTAAGACCCCCCTCGCCTGATGGGCCTGATTTCCACCACCACCACCACAAGTTGGAGGGGGAGGGGGCCCTCCTCCTCCTCCTCCTCCTCCTCGTCCTCCTCCTCGTCCAACTTATGGTGGTGGTGGAAAACCGGCCCATCATCGCCTTCTCAGAAGGCCGCCGCACCCCCTCGCGCCAACCCAGCGTGTGCGCGCCGCAGCCTTGCTCCGTCGCACGAAGGGTCGACCAAGTTCTGTGCGGACAGCAAGTGACCGAGACACCATCGATAACACAAGGGTCCTCCAGACAAATCCCCGTAATGATTATGGTTCTCTGTCGCGCCCAGAGATTCCGACTCCGTGCGACAATGGCGAGCACCGTCAGGACACAGGAATCAACAGAACGACGGAGGAACCCGAACACAGAACACCAAACTGCGTCTCGCAGTATAGGGAGCTGGGAAGGCACCGTCACTGCCGACAACCCCCGCAAAAATTGACCAACCCGAGCACAAGATGACGGCACACAGTGCAACCGGTTCCTCAGGATGGACGGGCGACGAGGATGCAAGGACCTTGCTTGGAAACCCAAGTTGAAACTTTTCGAGCGGCGCGGATGGGCCGAAGGGGAAAATGTGCGAGGGGATCCTCGCAGCACTACGCATCCTTATCCTGCGATCTGACCGGCCCCCTAAGAGACCCAAGACGGCTCAGGCATTGTCCTCCACATCACCATCCACCTCCACCTCCTCCTCCTCCTCCTCCTCCTCGTGTGTTCCTCCGTCGGCACTCTCCTCCACAAGGCAGGAGAGATCCGCCCCCGAGTCGATAACAATAAGCTTTCGCGCCTGCGTGCAGTACACACGGAGCCGAGTGAAGCGCGCAAACACATTTCCACCCCATCAGCGTGCGGCCGAAAAACCTTCTAGGGGCAGAGAGGTGATTAGAGGAACGCCTCTGACTAACTGACCACTGCGAGAAGGGCATGTGAGCATCAAGCTGGGTTCCTTCTCTAACCCCACGTTGGGATCCCCCCATTAACGTACCCCTGAATTCCCTCATCCTCGTTCCATCTCGGGCCAAGGAAACGCGAGTAACGGGTGGGCAACACGCTTCCAACTGCAGGGCACGGGTAGCCGCTGTTTGTGACCCGCTCGAACGAACAAGGCCGCTGAGCTTAGTGGGAAGCCTCTACGGGCAATTCCACTGCAGCATGACAAACCATGATTGCATAATACCCGCAGTACAACGCGACAAGATCATAGGGATGCGCGGTAAGGATGCAAGGCCCTGATATGCCAAAAGTGAAGCTTTTTGAGTGAAACTGGCAAGGGATCGTGGCTAAGGATGGGCCTAAGATGCAAGGATGAACGGGTGCCCTTGGCAGGCTACTGATCCTCAGTATCCGATTTGACAATAGACCTGCTACTACGTAGCCAAGGTTCACCAACCATGCTTCAGGTTAACCGACACCTATCCCCTACTTAACGCACAAAACAACAAAACTATTCACCCACATGGACCTGACACCCGCTTACTGTATCATAGCGAACTGCTTCTTACTGCTCTACAGGTCAACAGGTTCATGAAATGCCGTCATCTCATATTCGCAGATTGCGCGGCGCGCGGAAGTGTACGAATGCGAGCACGGGCACGACGTCTCTCGACGACCACGTAAGAGGGGAGAACATCTCTGGGAGTGGAACCGCGCACTCCACGCGACGCAGCCTGCAGGAGGACGAACTCGTCGTGCATCCTGGCGCGCGACGCGCCAGGAAATCCGTGCCACAGTGGATCCCCCGACATCTCTGCACCTTGGGTGTATCCCCTCTTCCTAATGCTGCTCTCCTCTGAAAACCAAAAAAACAAGCAACACACGTACGAGGACACAAACGTTCGGAGCTCCGCGTGGATTTCTTGGATCGGCGTTTGGCCTATCTGGCGGCGCTTCTGGCGCCGACCCTGGTGCGCTCCGCGCGCTGGGGAGGGGCCTAGGGCCGATCCAAGAAATCCGCGCAGACCTCCGAAAGTCTATGTCGATGCAGTGCGTTCTGCTTCGACTCTCCTCGTCCTCGCCACGGGCCTCCGATGCCCTCATGCTCTACTCAGGTCCGGATGCAGCGAGCGAGAGCGCTGGCAGCGGCGCAGCAACGAAGGGGACGACCCCGAGACGCTGCTCCAAGATTTGGACACCCGAGTGGGTGCAGGAAGACATGCATACGATGCCCAACATCGAATGTTGTCCAAAATCGGCAGCGGTCGCGGTTGGGCAGGCGACCCTCTCGCACATGGACAATATCCGCGGCGATACTCGAAATCCCTAAATAATCGACCCCCCTATAAAAAGCAGGACCCCCCCTTGAAGGCAATATAATTTTGCGGACCCCCTGTCACCAGGGGGCCTTAATATTCCGGACCCCCCGTCTTCGGTTCAAAGAAAACGCTCTGATAAACCGGATCCTCCCGCTTCCAAAAAAAGGCGCCTTAAAAAACTGGTCCTGGGGGACGATCATCAGGGGATTTCGAGCACCGACGTCGAGCCCTGTTCACAGTGGACAGGAACTGCTGTCCGTCTTCGTCACCAGCTCGGGTGCTGCTAGAGGCGCCCCCGAGCGACGGCACACCCGCGGCCTCCAGCGCACCCCTCACGAGGCCCAGAGGGCTCCAGGGGCTCCAAAATTGAACGCACAGTTGGGGGGGCACCTTGGGCCAGTGGTACCTTTATTGAGCAGGGACCGACCGTCCCGGCATTCCTATATGCCTACCACGACATGTTCGTAGAACTCATACATGTTCTCAGAACAAAACAATGTTCTTAGAACATAAACACGGTGTGTTAAAACAAGTCAGTCCCAGCCAGGAATGTTCTAAGAAAATTTCGTGGAAACCACACAAGGTTCTAGGAACATTGTTTGGTAGGCCTATAGGCGAGCTAGGACGCTTCGCCACTGCTTGACTCTAGCAGCCCCCGACCACTTTGCTTCGGACTGGCAACAGGCCGCGCGGGCGGCCCCCCTCCCGGGGGCGCCGAACGACTGCCAGCGTGGGCCTGGAACCGTGCTCTTGGGCGTGCAGTGCGGACGCGGCCGCACGAGCCCCTTGCAGGAAGCCCGGCCCTGAAAATCCGCGCGCGGGGTGCAGTTTCGGTGTAAATCCAAGGCACCCTGAACGCAGCAGTCCTTCAACTCCCGCGGAAGCCACGCGCAGCGCGCGCAGCGGACAAGCCTCCTAAGGCAACTACCCTGACGAGCAGCACATGGTTTTTTGATGCGCGTCCCCTCCGTATGGAGCCAGGTTGATGGAGTGCAATCTATACGCGATGCGGCTAAGGTGGTGCAGTCGACGCTGCGCCCAGGGCGGCAACCAGACCTCGCAGCAAGGAGGGGGACCGACGACAGGGCACCACGAAGCACCCGAGGGCACAGCCCATCGGGCAACAACGCATCAACCAGAAATCGCGGCACGGCGGGACACCGAGCATAGGGATCCATGGATTATGATAGGGCACCACCCACAGGGCACCAAGGCCGCAACACTCCATCGCGAAGACGGGTGCGTCGTAAGGCGCCAGGCGTAGAACACCACCCCCATAGGGTACTGCAGGCTCGCAAGGATGTCTCCTAACGCCACACCAGGGCCCCAATAACACCCGAAAGACAAATGGAAGCTTCTGCGCCCAACCTCGTCCGCATCAGCGGGCGCGCGGTCCAAACGCCCCCTCCCCCCCAAATTCTAAACGGGACTCTGCCTGCGGGAGGGGTGCCATGGGGTGATCCATTCCTTTGATTCGAATTTCATCGAGGAGAATGGATGAAGCCTGGTTTGGACGATTCTGCTTGGGACGTCCTCACAAATTCTGCATGGTCTGGCCCCCGGTTTGGCCCGGTTTGGCCCGGCTTGGCCTCGCGCCCCGCGTGAGTCATCATCAACGTGTACCTGGTTTGGCCTGGTTAGGGCTCGGTTTCGCCTGAAACGTCCTCAAGATTTGTATGGTTTGGCCTGGTTTGGGCTCGGTTTCGCCTGAGACGTCCTCAAGATTTGTATGGTTTGGCTTGGTTTGGCTAAGTTTCGGCCCGGTGTCTCTTGAGACGTCCTCAGAAGTTGCCTGGTTTCGCCCTGGTTTGGCCTGGTTAGGGCCCCGTTTCGCTTGAGAAGTCCTCACAAGTTGCTTGGTGTGGCTAGCTCCACGGAGTCTTCACGAGGCTCTCGGAACGAAACATCAGCGAATGCCTGTGCAGCTTATGATCGCCATGCGGTCTCAGCACACAGCGCGATGTATCACGTGTCCTTCGACACTGGCGGTTAATGAACACACTGTGTGGCGAGCGTGTAGAAACCGAAGTGATGGCACGGTGCCGTGAATCCCCACGGCGGTGCAGATATAGTTAGCACGTTGGCTCTACAAGACGGCGAGCGGCATCGGTGTGGACATCGCCAATGGGCTGTGGATCGGCATGAGCGTGTGTGGCAGCAATAAAGAAAACCTTGCGGAGGCTGTAGGGCGGCAGTCAGACGTCGCAACAGCTGCGGCATCACAAGACGCTGGTCAGAACACCCAATACAAGTACGGCACCAGGGCGGCAATGAGAAACCACGACAGCTGGGGCATCACAGGGCGACAGCCAGCACACCCCATACGGCACTAGGGCGGCAATCAGAAACCACGACAACTGCGGCATCATAGGGCAGGCACCATCCAAAGGTCACCAGGGCGGCTACAAGAAATCGACACAACTGTGGCATCATTGGGCACCAGCTACGGCACCGCCCGTAGGCCACCACGGCAGCATACAGAAACAGTGGCAACTGAGAGACCTGTGGGCGCAGCCATACGTCGCCAGCCATAGCGCGCCAGCCATCGGGCATCACCCATGAGGCACCAAGAAGGCAACCAGGAATCGCGAAAGGTGAAGGAGGATCATGGGGCACCACACAGAGCACCAGGGAGGCAGCCAGAAATCATGACAAAACATTCCCTTTGAACATGCAAACCAAAGAGCACCATGACCACCACGAGCAAACACGATGCGTCGCGCCATCGTTCCTCGCTATGGTAGAGCATTGCAGAGTGACGTGCCTGCGAAAAATGCCGCGCGAAATCGCGCCGACCTTTGACAAGTGCCAGCAAATACTGCGTCGATGATCATATCCGCTCACGTGCCGCGAGACACTACGTGTGATGTCCAAAGGTCGCTTCGAGTTCTCTGTTTTGGACAGATTTGCAGCGGGCACGGAACCCCAACTCACGGACCTGTCGAGGCGTCCCGCGTGGGTTTGGGGGCTCTCCGCATGGCTCTTCGAAGAGCCAGAAGTAATCCAAAAGCCGCGCGTGCACGGCCGCGACGCCAAGTGTGTGGAATTGTGTGCGTGTGTGTGTGTGTGTGTGTGTGTGTGTGTGTGTGTGTGTGTGTGTGTGTGTGTGTGTGTGTGTGTGTGTGTGTGTGTGTGTGTGTGTGTGTGTGTGTGTGCGAAAGGGGTGCGTCCCCTCCGATGGCGCAAACGGATTCTGCGAATATTCCCCTGAGGGCCCAACCGCGCGCGCACTGGATCCGACCTTTCTGCGCCTCGACGTTGCGCGCGAGGCCACCACCGCCCAAAAGTGTGCGTGTGCGTGTTTAGGAATTTCGGCCCCGGAGGGGGGACGTGAGCTGAACTGGCCCTGGGAGCGGCACGGTGGCGGGATGAGTGGAAGGCTGACCGTGTGGATGATGTTGACGATGAGAATGGAAGCCGGGGGTAGGATCGGGTAAACGGAGAAGCTTGAGCATGAGACTGTTGATTCGCCCAAGCCCCGCCACCCCCTTGCCACCCCGCGCGCGCAACACTTCTGGCTATCCCCATGCAGGACGATCTAAATAAGATCGAGCCGAGTACCAGGCGCAGGCGCAGCAGAGTGTGCCGGCAGGGGCAGAGGCAGCTGCCAAGAGAGCAGCCAGGGGGGAGAGGCAGACGGAGGAAGACAAGAGGGGCTGGGAGACACGCAGCGGAACACCCGCGCGGGTGGACCCTGGCCAGGAGAGCCGGGAAGGGCACAGCGAGGCTGGCGCAGACCTGGGAGGATATTGACATCATGATGCGACTGGCTCAGGATGCGCTCCAAGAATTCTGGATTCTCTGGCGGCCCCAGCCCCTGCAGCCCGCGTGTAAACCATGCGAAATTCTGGAAGCTCATAAAAGGCTTGAAGCGCCTCAAAATCATGACTTCGTGCGCCTCTGATTACCGCTGTCACGCTTCAGAAGCAATCTGACAAGTGAGCCATCCAACTCCGCTGCCGAGCAAGAATGCCAGTTCAGCGCGTGGGATGGAGAACGCAGTCCACCCCTCGATTTTGGAGCATCGTTCATGGTAAGGCCATCGTATGTCCTCCATCATGACAGATTCATTCCAGAGGCTGCAAAGATATTCGACGCTGGCCATCACGTCGGCGGCCAACCTGTTGCTGAGACAAACGGGCGCACACTACGCTGCCCAACATGACTCCGTGATGCATCCACGCTTCTGTAAGTACTCGGTGAACTGGTAGGTGCAGACGCGGCGCCGCCCGCACCGTTGAGGCCTCTGCAGAATGTGCGGCGTCACTTGGCATTTGTTTTTTGCTCGGGACCAGCATGCTTCTTCTGTTGCTGGCGATCGCGCCCAGGGCAGCCTCGACTGCATCAGTCTGCACAATTCCAAGCAAGAGTGCGGCCCGAATAATACCCGACACACATCTCATGCAGTCGGGATCGGCGCCAGAGTGGCGCCGCCAGGGGGGCCGGCGCCGACCCTCGACATCCGCCCGAACCTCAGCACCTTGATTTGCACAGTGCCTTATCTTCCTCGGGTGCTGGGCCCGCATGCCTCTCCCCAGGCACCGGCTCTTCATCCCGAGCCGCTCCTTGACCGCGCAGAGGCGCGGGAGAGGCAGCCGGAGTCTGACCACGGAGATAAAATGAGGGTATGCTAACGGAGATACATGGGGGGTCCGGAGATAATACGGGGTAAATGGATAGTCTGGCCGTATGCGCAGGTGGGAAGTGTGGTATTCGGGCGCTAGGATGTGCCTCTTGCGACTGTTCGGAACGAGAGTTGGACAATCCCGGAGCGCGCTCGGGTAGAAATCGAGACAGTACTGCAGGAACTCCAGGACCCCTTTCTCTTCAGGACCCCTCTGTTTCCTGGCGACCGAACCTGCCTACAACCAAAGAGAAGAGACGCATGCGGCAGAAGACCCCAAGCAGCTATACAAGACGCAGCGATGGGGGCAACGATCAACGAACTCGGCGGACAAGGGAGTCGATCAAGGAGGAAGCTCAGCGCGGGTGCGGCGCGCGGAATCAACTGTACTGGCCCTACATCGTGTGGAAGAGCTTGTGGGCCGTGGGAGACGATGGGGGCAACGACGGGGGGTAACGCTGCGGGGCAACGCGCCCCCAATCTCGGGGGGCTGGCCACGATCGGGGGGGGGGTGGGGCAACGGGGCCAACGATAGGGGGCAATAGGCCCCCGATTTCTCTGCGGCCCCGGCTCCCTCACCTCACTGGGCGTTAGCATCAATGCACAGAACACCCACAGGCAAGCTGTTGACACGAGGCGCTGCGTGGCGACCACGCCTGCTAACCCAAGAACACCAGCTACACACAAGAGTTGCCCTGGGCAAGAGTGCTAGCCGCTCGCCGCATGCGATGCGACAGCAGCGGCCCGCGTGCTTGGTCTTAGGCCCCCGCGCCCCCCGAAAGCCCCGCGCCAACACTCTGGCGAAGGGTCACTCTCACACCCACGTGCAAACGAAAACATCGCGGTGCCACAAAAACAGGGGGTCCTGCGCCACACGGGTCTTGAACTTCAGCCCTGGGGCCATCGACCTGGGACCAACTTCTCGCCCTGAATCGTTCTCTGCCGGTGATAGGGCCGGCACGAGTCCCCGGGAGGCCGAATGCAGCGAAACACCTTGGGACCCGGACCCGCTTACCCTATAGGTCCCCCTAATGAGCGACGACAAGGGCGAATGGCCCAGGGGAGAGCAGTGCATGTAATTATCCAGGGGCGCCAATGGTCCATGCCTTCGGCGAGTCTCCCGGGCGAATACGTGTACACGAGTCTCGGCCTTCTCTGCTGCCCGGGCGGGCGACCCGCAAAGCCGGTGCGCCAGGCGCCGGCCGCCGGCTGCGCCAGCTGCGCCGCTTGCACCGCCTGCTTTTGATGCTGCTTCTCCTCCTCCCCTCCCCTTCCCCCCTTTCTGCTCTCCCCCTCCTTCCTTAGCCACGGGGCGAATTGTCTTGTGCCAGTAAAAAGTGTTTCCCCCCCCTGCGGTGCTCGCCCCCGTCGTCGCCCCCAGAGGACCCCGTCCTCCTGCGTATGAAGCGACGACGACGACGGCCTCCATGGCGACTCACGGCCCACCGTCGGGCCGGGCTGTGCGGCGGGCTGGGGGCCTCTTGGTCCTCCCCTGCTCCCCGGACAACTGGATCGCCCTGCGGCGGTTCTCGCTGCTCGTGGCCTCGCCGGCGCGCGCGCGCGCGCGTCCTGCACTTTTTTCGTCACCGCCGAGTGGGGGGGGCAGAGGAGCGCCCCTCGTGGGTGGTGCGGCGCCGCGGCTTCCTCGTCGTCCCGCCCGGAGGCGTCTCCAGGCTTGCCATTCCACCCGTGGACGGCACCGTGGGGGGCCTCCTCGCCGGGGCTGGCCCCGGTGGCCCTGGTTCGGACGGGCGTTGAGGGGGGCAACCAAAAGAGGGGTGACAAAGCATAGTTACGTCTTTCTGGCACCTCTAGGGCCCGCGGTGGCACGTTGAGGGCAAGTTCGGGACCATGTACGGCAACTGCCCTGCAATCTCCATCCCTCCCTTTGCTGATTGCCCCACCACTGACCCGCGGATGTCCAACAAGGGTGACGTCCAACAAGCGGGGGTGCAAATCATGACCCGAGGCACGTGCGCGGCCAAGGGGCCAGTGGACGTGTTGGAACAACAAGGGACGCGATGAAATCTGGCCCACGACTGGCGAGCGCCCAACTGGTGTGGCCCCTCCCTCTTCAGGCTCGTGTCGTCCAACTACCCCGTTCCCACACATCCGCCATCGTCTCCAGGCTCCGCCCCCACGGCAACATCGTGGACCCCACAACCGCTGGGGGAGTCCCCGATGGCCCTGACTTAGGCGTTGCTTTAATGGGGGGATGCGATCCATGGAGGGGGGAAGAACCGCAGACCTTTCGTGCCCCTTTCGGGCCCCAGAGGTCCCCTTTAGGGAAGAAAAAGTGCACTTCTCTTCACCCACTCCCATTCATCGCCCCCCCATTAGGCAACGTCCGACTGGCCTGGCTCCTTCTGCCTCCCACTCCGGTTCACAACAGGAGAGAGAGGAAAAACCAGAAGTATCGGATCAGAACCGGCCGGAGTCGGCATCCGCCAGCGGATTCGAAATCGAGATCGAGAAACAGGAGTGCCCTCAGACGGAAGCAGGAATCGACAGCGGGACATCGAAATCGGATCGGATCAGAACCAGACCTGGGGGTCCAGCGGCGATCCAAGAATTATGCGCAGACCTTCGAGCGTTTGTGCCACTGCATCTTCTTTCTGCGGGGACAACAAGCAACCACAACCACGTCGAGGACACACCCTGGGGATGTCTTGCGCATGCCATTGTGGAAACACCGACATCAGCTTCGTACTGGTTGAGGTCGATGTGGCGTCCCAGGACAGCAGAATCGAGCACAGCCACAACCACAGTGCTCCTGTCGAGGTCGGTGGGTTCTCCCCCGAGGAACCCTCCCGAAACATCAATTTTGTTGTTGTTGTGGTGGTGGTGGTGGTTGTTGTTGTTTGCTGTGCCCAGACGTGCCCCCCCCCCCCCCTGGACCTCTCGCCCCTTCTCCCTGGGGGGACGTCGTGGAGGGGGATGGTCTGTGAGGGGTCGGTTAGGCCGCCCCTGAACTCAACGTCCATGAATGTTCTGAGCTCCGCGCGGATTTCTTAGGCGCTCCTCTGCTTTCTTTTCTGGTGCCTAGTGTAACGCTGCCCCCGTGCAGGCGTCCCCGAGTTACCGCTCGGGGACGACAGAAGGCAGCGGCGACGACAGCAGCGAAAAGCGGCGTTGCCGCCGCGCTGCCCATCGGGCAGGACGAACCCAGGTCCACGACGTCGTCATCTGTCCCACAGCGTGGGCCATTGGAGGTCTCGACGCTCCTCCTGGGACCAACCCAGACATGCTCGCTTCGCGAAAGAAGCATACAGACGACTGGCTTTCGGTAGCCGATTTCGGCCTCCGGGACCCTCGCCGGCCCCGAAAACCATCAAAAAACTACTCGGGATGACAAGCTGGCCTTTGGGAAAGGGTCGGCACTTCCGGGGACCTCCCATAGGAAATCAAACGTCGGACGTCTACGCAAATCAGCTGCACATATTGCGCATCTCGCCCCGTAATGCGCGGCAATTTTGGCGTCTTCGCGACCTCGCGCCACCCTTACGAAGAACGGCAGCCGCTCAGGCCAAGACCGCGATGTGCATTTCACGACTGTCTTTGCAACCCCACGGGCGACTTCGAGAATTAGTGTTTCATCCCACGTGTTTTTTGAACGGCCTCGAGGGACAGTGCGGGTCCCGAGACAAATGCCGAGGTCTTCGTGTTCCACATAAGTTGTGATTTCTTCGTAGCGCGGGTGGATTTGGGCCTGGGGATCAGACTTCGACCCCTGGACCTCTGCACGGGTGCGTTTGGGAACTTGGCCTGGCCGTCGCACGGCAAACAACACGCGAGCACTATATATGTATATATGTATATATGTATATATATATATATATGTATATGTGTGTGTATATATATATATATATATGCGTGCGTACAAGACTGCATTGGCGCCTCGCGCCATGCACCTTGGTCCTTGAAATGTGGCATGCAGGCGGAACGGCTGGAAAGTCAAACCGACAATTTAGCACAACGCCGTTATATCAATGTTACTCGTTAACTATCCGTCCTCTATGTCTATTTTCTTCACCCTCGCCCTACAATGCGTATTCTCCCCTATCCCCCTCAGTTCATTTTGCGGGGGCTCCTCCTTGGAGAGCCTCTTGAGGCCCCACGGAAATGTTTCAGGCTTTCTTAAAGCCTTCTGGAGGCCTCCTGTGCGTCTTCTGGGGGCCTCTGGGGGCTTCCTCGGGACACCCTGCTATCAACCGCGGTTCCCTGAACGTCAGGGTCACGAGCTTCGGAGGGCGTCTTGGGGCCATCTTGGTCCGTCATGGGGCTCTCTTAGGCCATCTTGGAACCCTGTTGTGCCGTCTTGGGGTTCTCTTGGACTGCCTGGAGACACTTTCGGATGATTGCGGGTGGACTCTCGAGCCTCCCAAGTGGCTTCGGACGCCCAGACCGCCGTCTTAGAGCGTCGGGAAGCCGAAAAGAGAACCCCAAAAATCACGACAAACCAATAGAAAATCCATGATTGTTGCATGTTAGGGCCTTCTTGGGAGTGCTCTTGGAGACCTCTTGGGTCGTTTTGGAGCGATCTTTGGGGGTATGACGGCTTCTTTGGAGTCGTCGTGGACCGTTTTGCGGTTCTCTGGGGTCGTTTCGGGAGCGCGCCGGAACGCCTGGAGCCCTCGTCTTCGGGCTCTCGTGGGTTTCTCCGGGTCGTCTGGAGGGCTGCCCGAGAGGCCTGGGGCGGGTCAAATTCGTTAAGGAAGGGAGGGGGGGGGGCGTTTTGGGGTGGGTAGGTGTTTTTTTGTCCAGCGTCCACGGCCCTATAAATTCATGAATATATATACATATATATATATATATATATATATATATGTATATATATATACATATATATATATACATATATATACATATTTATTTATATATTTATATATATATATATACCGCGTATGCGGATAATGGCGAGGGGGCGGTGGGGACGCCGGCAGTCGGCGAGACCCTGGGGAAGCCCCCCGCACGCGCCAAAGCTTCACAAATTATGCAACGAGCCAGCCGCAGGCGCCAAATTTTTCTTCAAACCAATGTAGATCGGTCGCGGGTGGGTCGCGGGGAAGTCGCGGGGTGGGTCGCGGGTGGGTCGCAAGAGGGTCGCGGGTGGGTCGTGGGTGGGTCAAGGATGGGTCGCGGAGTGGGTCGCGGGTGGGTCGCGGGTGGGTCGCGGGGTGGGTCGCGGGCGGGTCGCGGGCGGGTCGCGGGTGGGTCGCGGGTTGGGTAACGGGTGGGTCGCGGGTTGGGTCTCGGGGGGGTCGCGGGGTGGGTCGCGGGGTGGGTCGCGGGGTGGGTCGCGGGGAGGGTCGCGGGTGGGTTGCGGGGAGGACGACGACGACAACGAACAACAAACAACAATCAACAACAACCAACAGCAACAACAACAAGCACAATCACAACAACAACCATCATGTTACCCTCATGCGCGATGTTTCCACATGAGCATGTGGCCATCATGATAACCATCCCCATCATGTGGGACTATTGTTCTATAGCGGGGTCCGTTTTTTTCCCTGTCCCAAATCTCCCTCCCAATGAGGTTTTGCCAACACCTTCTCCGAGGACTTTCAACTTATCCCACCTCGAAAACACATGCCCGCGCCTTGCTGCCGCCGATGCGAGACCGCCAGTGGGGCCCCAGCCAATGGTAAAGCACAAGGAAACATGGAGCGACAGGATTACCTTGGTGGGTGTGGGGGCTGTCGGCGGCGAGGCAAGGACCTGGCCCTGAATAGAAACTGAGGAAATCAGGGCCGCTGTTGTTGCGGGGGGCGGCGCCAATGCTGACGAGAGTAGGGCGGTAGTCCAGCGTACAACAAAACAAAATCTCGAGCGGGAACGCTGGTTTTGTTGGGACGGCGGTTGTCGGCGGCGCGGAGCCGCACTGCTTTGAGTAAGAAGGGGACAAATATCGAGCAGGAACCGTGGTTTTGTCGGGGCGGGGGCTGTCGCGGCGAGGAGCAGCACCGTCCCGAGGAAAAATGATGGAAACCTCAAGCGGAAACGTTGACCTTGCTGGGGGCGGCGTTGATTCAAAAGAGAGTTGGGCGCCAGTCCAGCGCAAAACGGGAGGAAGTCTCGGGCGGGAGCCTTGGTTTTGGTGGGACGGCGGTTTTGGCGGCGAGGAAGAACAGCGCCTTGAATAAAAAAGGGAAACACTCTCGACGGGGAACGTTGTTTTTGCTGGGGGCGGCGCCGATGAGAGAAAGAGTAGCGTGCGAGTCCAGCGTAAACAGGAAGAAGTCTAGAGCGGGAACGCTGGTTTTGTTGGGGCAGCGGCTTTCGGCGGCGAGCAACAGCACCGGCCTTGAGTAAAAAAGAAGGGAGTCTCGAGCGGGAGCGTTGTTGCTGTTGTTGTTGTTGTTGTTGTTGTTGTTGTTGTTGTTGTTGTTGTTGTTTGGGGTCCCGTTTTGGCGCCCCCCAAACCGCTCGAGCGTGAGCCCAATTTTAAATGAAAATGTAACCGGCGTCGATGCGAGAGCGCCAAAGCGCCTGGTGGGGGCACCAATAATACTTGTTTCGTAACTAACATTCAACAAC